AAGCGAAAAAAGCAATAGGTATTGAACATGATTACAAAATATATACACCATGAGGTAAATACTGCATAAGATTGAAAAATTGGTGGTAAATTGTGATAGTTTACCCCCAGACAATATATATTGATGAATTGACTCGACCCAACTCTGATGGCAACATTGTCTTATGCTAAAGTAAGAGCCACAACCCGGATGCAGTCTAAGACTGCCACCAGCTCATTCATGACTCTTGGTCATCTCCTAAACTGAATCTCGATGGAGTCCAGTCCAAAAGTTCATAATTTAAACTTGATTCAATGTTTCAAGATCTATGAGATGTTTCTCTGAACAAGGAATGTAGAAATTCTGGCTTCTAACTAGATTCTCACAGCATATATGTCGCTCATCGACCATCTTTTGGAGGTACCTCACACGCTTCTCAATTTGTAACTGCAGTTTCCTTTGTGAATCGTTTCCTATAGACATCCAATTGGAAACATCTGTGTGTGTGTGTGTGTTTTTCTTTGATGGGTGGGAAGAGAAGTTCTCTGAAATCTAAATTCTAAATATTTTGGCAGTAAGAGCAGGTGGTCCTTGTGTTGATGAGACCAGCACCAACGTGGTAGTCTAGATTTCATAATTTCATATAAAAACAGAAGAATGATAGGGGGAGAAATTTAGTACAAAGAGAGTTGAAGGCCGGGACAAAATCGAAAGCAAATTTAATGGGGCTCCGACACAAACAGACAAGGTGCCATGTCACCGTTCCTCTAGCAGATTGCCATATAAATGCACAAAACAGTAAGAGAAGTTAGCATGTCAATATGATAACCCATTCAAAGTTTTAAAGGTCAAATTCAAATCATATATGACCATTTCCAGAATAGTGGCAATCTAGGACATGGTTTCCACCAAGTGCTTAATAAACATCAGCTATGACCATTCAAATTCACATCCCAGCATCATCCCAAGTTGGAAACACCACAGTGGAGGTTAAATTCAGTTAAGCATCCATATTTAGTGACACTCCGATGTTGTTTTCCACATTCAAGAAGCCTATAAAGGATACCTATATCACACACACACAAACTCACCCATTAAAGCAAGTAAACACAAGAAGCCACGACAATGTCAAAAATCACCTAAGAAACAGGGTCATATATGCGTAATTCTAGAGCGGGAGAGAGAGAGAGAGAGTGAGAGAGATCAATCAGGATAGAAAAATGCACCTAAAACCAAGAGAGGGGAGGGCTTCACTCTACTGTCTGAGTTGAACTGCCATGGAAGAAAGCAAGGGCTGGGACAGCTTGAGAGAGCGCTGCCACGACTCGACCTATGAATACTAGCTCTTGCACCACCCAATCGATTTTCTTCAATGGAGCTCTCTTTCTCTCTCTCTCTCTCTCTCTCTCGCACCACCCTGCTGATTTTTTCAATGCAGCTCTTGTATAGCTTGAAACATATAAATAAAGCATCAGTCTAAAAGAAAGATTGTCCCACAAATTTTGCCAGCCTGTAGATTTCTTAAGAGGATGAAGTAAGCAACAAAAGGTTAATTTCAATTTTCTCACCACAAATATATGGCATGGGTACCACTGGATGCAAATTATATGAACCACATCACACTGCAAAAGGCACAGACATAATGCCCAAAACAGAAAACAGGTCATGCAATTATCAAACAAGGATAAAGTATAATTTGCTTACAAACCTTGGTCCATTTTTGCTGAATACAATCACGTAAGAAACAAACAACAAAGCTCTAGACAATTTTCCTTGTCTACAATTCCAATTATACTTAATTTCATAACATTGTATTTCAGTAGATTGCAAAATGTAGAGACAAACCATATTAATTGATAGAGAGCTTTTTAAAATCAGTAATGCTATGCATTTAGCCTTGCTCAGAGTGGGCTGTTCACATTCATGAGTTCAATAAAAATAGGGGGAAAGTTAAAAAAAAAAAAACACTTAAGCCAGCAGGTTCATCAATAATTCAAGAACTACACAGCAGTCACATTCATGAGCTCTTTTTTGTTTTGGATAATGTTGACTTTTATAGAGTATAAAGGGGAATATAGAGAAAGGAGAGGTACTTTTCCACAGGCTGAAAGCTAACAGGGGTGAGAGAGTAGAATCCAAAAAACATATCTTTTTAGTAGTTATAGTGACAGAAACAAAGCAACCATCAAAAAGATGTCGATCCCAAAAATCAAACATGAACTAAAGCTGCTCCATGTTTAGCTAGAGAGTCTGCTGCCTATTTTACTTCCCTCCAAATATGCCGCCATGAGGCGTGCAAATCCCTGCAAATATAGTGAACCTCATCAAAAATGTGTGTCAAGTTCCAAGGAGGAGGAGAAAATTTAGAGGTCGAAGCAATAAGGCGCTCCGAGAGGTACGGAAGCAAAGTTTGAGGCCTTCAAGAAGGCCACTTGCACTGATGAAACCTTTCGAACTTCTTGGTGAAAAGAGAGGTTTTTTTTCTCTGTTTTTGTGCATGTGTGAGTATGTTATGCAGAGAGAGAGAGAGAAAGAGAAACAAGGAAAATGGAGAGAGAGAGATCACCCCATCAACAACCAGCATTCATTAGTACACATAGAACTCGAGTAGAAACAAGGGACTCATCAAATAAAGAATAAAAAATAATGGAAAACACACAAAGATGCAATCTAATGGAGAGAGAGGGGCAATCAAAACTACTGCATCAGATAACTTAAAGTAAAAACTATACAAAGACATAGCATCTCTTCCAAAAAAAAGGAACAAAGGAGAGAGAGAGGGATAGAGACCCATCAAAACAAAATACAATAACGAACAGAGAGAGAGAGAGAATAGCCATAAGAGCTAGAAGCAAGAGCAAAAACTGGACTGCAATCCATGCCAAGTGTATCAACTAGAAACTCAAGGCCAAGAGTTCGGGACTCAGGTAGGAGCAGTAGCACCAGTCGCGCCTCCACATTCACATCATGCCAAGGGTTCCAAACCATGTTACCATTAAATTAAGAGAAGGTAAAGCAACTGATATTTTCAACTATTGTCATAACACACAACAGCAAAAACGCTTAAATGCTTAACAAAAGTTATTAAAATCTCAAGATCTCGACATTTCAATCATTGACACAAACTGAACCCATCAAAAGTATGAATTTTAAATAAAGCAAGTAAACACATGAAGCCACAACAATGTAAAAAATCACCCAAGAAACAGGGTCATGTATGCATTATCCTAGAGCGAGCGAGCGAGAGAGAGAGAGAGAGAGAGAGAGAGAGAGAGAGAGAGA